CCCCAAAACCCCAAAACCCCAAAACCCCATCATTATATTGTACAAATTAAGTTATTTTATCGAATTATTATAGTTGAAAAGCAGAATTAAAAATGACTTAAATACATAAAAGCTAAAACCTCTACATCTAATAATCTACTAATCCCATTCCAAAAGGAACTAAGACAATTAAAGATAGTAAGAAACCTTGAATTTTAATTATTCTTAAGTATTGCCTGATGTATCAAAATCAAATAACTAAATCTACTAGCAACAGAATGATTACCAATTATCAAGTGGATTTTACGATAATCATATGATGGGAGGCTCAATAATTAATGAAACACTAAAGACAAGTATGTTATTCTAGATAGCAAAAGTATTTTAAGTATAAAAATTTATAGATTCAAGATACAGTAGTGATAGTCGCAGTGGCTTTTCTAGTATTAATCACTAGTAATCACTTAACTAACAGAAAGTTGATTAAGTTGATAAGGAAATGAAATAGATAGAAGAGGAAATGTATCAGCACCAGCAAACTGCTAAAAAACAAGAGGAAATAAAAGAGTAATTATACAATAATCTCTTATCATTATTAGGGAGGTTATTAAGAAGTATTAAGAGGGGAATAACTTACTGCAGAATATTATTTAGTAGCTTGAAGAATAAATAAAATCAAAACTAGAAAAACAAAGGAAGGTTAATACAGTTATGACTCATAGAGATGTAGGATAAGTACATCCAAGTGTATAAGGTAAATTTTAGTAACGTTTGATTTATTACTAATAGAAAGAAATAGTCATCTATAAAAACTTTAAATAAAGATTAATGGCCAAAAGCAGCATATAACTTCCCTTAAATAGAAGATTGAGTCAGTTGTTTAGTCAGGAGTCAAAACTGAAATGGACAACAAACTATCTGATTTGCTAAGAGAAATTAAGCAGCTTAAATCATAAAAGAAAACACTTTCAGATGTTAATGTTATCCAACTAAATGCATATAGCTAATTGACTGGAGATACAGATTATGCAGGCCAGATTAAAAAGATAAATTAATAAATATAATAGTTTAAGGATCAATGCAAAGTTTTACAAGATTAGAGATAGCAAGAAGATAATAACTTTAGAAGTTAGTTTGAACGCTTATCAATGGCTGAAGAGTAAAGATTCAAGCTAAGAGAATAAATCATCCAAGTCAAGAACACATTCAGATAGTCTATTGATATAAATTCAGGTGGCTTGCAATCATAAAGAGGAACCTCATCTGATATACAATTGCCAAAGCTACTTAGAGTTAATTCTTAGACAAGAAGAATTAACAAGGCCGCTGATTAAGAATTGAGGGGTGCTGCTGCCTTATAAAATGGTATATTAAGTATCTAGAAAAAATATCGCTTTTAAAAGAAGAAAATTGAATAAGATCTTGAAAATATAGCAAGAGAAATGGAATGTATGGAAATCGAAATAGCCAAGAAAAATGATGAAAACATTGACTTATAGGAACAAATAAAAGATCAAACTAAAAAGTAATAATAATTTTAGCAGCAATAGGATAATTAATAAATTTAATGACGATCTTAAGCATAATTATATCACATTGACCTATATAAATATATAGACAAGAATTTTTCTTTCTAAAGGCAAACTAATAGCTTAAGGGGTTTTGGGGTTTTGGGGTTTTG